GCTCCTTGTTTGTTGTGCGGGTGTCTATTTTTGTCAGTCAGGTTGACGGTTGGACAAGATGATCTTTAAGGTCCCTTCCAACCTAGAAGATTCTGTGATTCTGTGAAATAAGAGGAGAAACAAGCCTGGGGTTGGTGCCACCATCGGGTGCGGGACGGGACAGGGTGCCTGGTTTTGCAGGTGGGTGCCAGGAACCAACACTGAGTCTGGGCACCCAGCCTGGTGTTAAGGCGATACCAATTAAGGTATCGATAGCGATTGGCCATTGATTACTCTGACTATTTTTACATTTTCCACCCTGGCAAAGGAGCTAGTGCTGCCCAGCACCTTCAAGGAAGCCCTGTCCTAAAAGAGAATGCAAAATAGCCCCCAAGAAATGTGTTTGGTTTTTTTTTTTTTTCCCTCTCTCAGCCTGTCCTCACAGCAGAGGTCACACTGTCTTTGGTGCAGCCCAGGATGGGGTTGGCTTTCTGGGCTGCCAGCGCGTGTTGCTGGCTCATGTTGAGGTTCTCCTCCACCAACACCCCAAGTCCTTCTCCCCAGGGACTGAGGGAAGATGGCCAGTGAGGTGACAGGGGTGACAGCACGTGGCGTTTGGTTGCCTGGTGGAAATGCAGGAGAATAGCGTTGGTGGTCTTGGTGGCCGGTGTGCAGTGTCACTGCTGTGGGGTTGTCTCCTTTGGGGTAGATTGGACTTGGGAAGAAGGACAGAGAGGTCCTCTCTTGTGTTAATGACAGTGTCTTAATGACGGCAGGTGCTTGGTGCTTGGTTGTACTCAGGGTGGGGACTGAACTTGGAGGATTTTTTCAAGTGCTTTGTGGAAAGAGGAAGGTGGTTGCCTGTGTACCACGCTGACGTGCTGGCAGTGGGTGTTACACACGCTTGTGCAAAGACAAGGGGGTGTTTGTGAGGCTTAGAGGAGTCCAGCATGGCAGCAGCAGCGTGTATGGGGGGGTCTAGACCTGAGAAAAGGGCAAGTTGTAGGTGGATTTGCAGATTTGGTGTGCAGAATGAGGGTGTGAGCGTAGGGGTAGATGGTGGTAGTGCCCTGAGTGGGTGTGCTATGTGTGCAAGGGCTGGGTAGGGACGAGTGTGTGTTCCTGCACAGCCGGGGTGCATGGCAGGGGAGGTTTCGGAGCGCAGGGCAGTTTGAGGGTGCGGGGATGAACCCCTGGAAGGGTGGAGGTGGTGGGGACAGCGAGGCATGCGGGGCTGGCAGCGCTGCCCCGGGGTGTGCAACCACCATGGAGGGACAGGGGAGGAAAGGGCTGTGGGAAGAGGAGCTGGTGTG